CTCACAGACGACGCTTCCGCTTGCTATTTCCTCCGTGTACAGGCATGAGGACCCCCAGAAGTGACGACAATTACAAGTTTGCAGATGACCCGCTCGGATTACCAACGTGAAGTGCGCGCCCCCTAGAGAAGGGGCTCCCGCTTGAGACTTCTTCACAATACACTCGCATACGAGGCTCCCGCTCGAAGCTTCTTCCTCCATTTTCAGCCCAGGGGAGCCCAAAAGTGATGATGATGATGATGATGATGACGATGATGATGTTGATGGTGATGATGATGCTGTTGATGTTGATGATGATGATGATGATGATGATGATGATGATGATGATGATGATGAGTGGTAGGTGGTGGTGATGATGATGGTGGTGCTGATGCTGGTGATGGTCATGGCTTGGTTGCGAGCGAGTGAGTGAGGGGGGAGTGGCGAGCGAATGGGTGAATGAGTGAAGGATTGATGATGATGGGGTGATGGTGTCGGTTATGGTGGTTGTGATGATATCGCGGTGTTGCTGATGACGTTGATGATGATGATAATGGTGATGGTGATGGCGATGGTGAGGTGTGACCGAGTAAGTGAGTGAGTGAGTCAGTGAGTGAGTGATGTTGAGAAGAGAAGGCTGTGGGTGACAGCACTGCTCGGGTGTCCAGACAAAACAAGAAATCCACTTAGGATGTGGGGAAGAATGTGTCGGAAAAGGGTGGTTGTTGCATAAAGGTATCTCTCACCATCGATGCCGAGTCAATATTCTGTCCAGTACAGACCTACAGAAGTCGACAGAGTGGATATTACTCGGGCATAAAAGTTTGATCCGACAATCGATGAAAATACACATTGTACCTTGTGTTCAGTGGTGTGACACACGTGATATGAAAACAGACGGACAGACTAAGGGAAGTATTGATCGTGAGTTCTTGTTACAAACGATGTCCGGGCATCAGCCATTTAGGCATGGCATAAGGGGGGTACGTGTGAAAGCGCGCCAGTGGATGGCCCTGAATACACGAAAGAGGGGGTGCTCGCACCCCCCCCCCCCCTCCCCCCCTTCAAAGGGGGGGGAGATTTTCGAACACCCTCCCCCTCCCCCCCTTGAGGGGGGGCGGTCCGACCCCCCCCCACGCCCCTCCTTTGCGCCGAACAGGGGGCTGGGGAGGGTGCCTCTCGGGTAGCGAGTAGGGAGTAGGGGTTTTGAGTAGCCATTGGTGAGTAGTGGGTATATGATAGTGAGTAGTGCGCAGTGGCTCGTGGGTGGTGAGTAGTGAGTAGTGGGTAATGGGTATTGGTAGTAGTGAGTAGCGCATAGAGATTAGTGAGTAGCGAGTAGTGGGTAGTGCGTAGTGCGTAGTGGGAAGGAGGTAGCGAGTAAGGAGTTGTGAATAGTGAGTAGGGAGGAGTGAGTAGTGTATAGTGAGTGATGCACAGTGAGCAGTAAGCAAGGAGTAGGGATGAGGGAGTAGACAGTAACGAATAGCGAAGAGTGAGTAATGAGTAGTGAGTTGTGCGCAGTGAGTAGAGAGTAGTGAGTAGTGAGCGGTGACTAGCGAGTAGCGAGTAGCGAGTAGGGAGTAGCGAGTAGGGAGTAGCGAGCAGTGAGTAGCGAGTAGCGAGTAGGGCGTTGTGAGTAGTGAGTAGTGAGGAGGGAGTAGTCAGGAGTCACTAGTGAGTAGTGAGTAGGGAGTAGTGCGTGGCGAGTAGGGAGTAGCGAGTAGTGAGTAGTGAGTAGTGAGTAGTGACTTGCGAGTAGCGAGTAGGGTGTAGTGGGTAGCGAGTTGGGAGTAATGAGTAGGGAGGAGGTAGTAGTGAGTAGTGAGTAGTGGGAGCGTAGCGAGTAGTGAGTAGTGGGTAGTGAATAGTGCGTATTGGGTATCGAGTAGGGCGTAGGGAGTAGCGAGTAGTGAGTAGTGAGTACTGTGTAGGGAGTAGCGATTAGTGGATAGTGAGTAGTGGGTTGCGGGCAGTGAGTAGTGAGTAGTGAAGTGTGAATTGTGAGTAATGGATAGTGGTAGTGGGAAGTGAGTAGAGTTTTGTGATTAGCGAGAAGTGGGTAGCGAATTGTGTTCAGTGGGTCATGAGTATTGAGTAGGGGGTAGTGAGTAGTGAGTAGTTTGTAGCGAGTAGGGAGTAGGGAGTAGTGAGTAGTGCGTCGTGGGTAGTTAGTCGTGGGTAGTGAGTCGTGAGTAGTGAGTAGTGAGTAGTGAGAAGTGAGTAGTGCGTAGCGAGTGGTGCGTTGTGGGTAGTGAGTAGTGCGTAATGAGTAGTGAGTACTGTTTGGGGCTAGGGCTTGGGGTTAGGGTTAGGGGTTAGGGTAAGGGTGAGGATTAGTGTTAGGGGTGGTAAGGGGTCGGGTTCCGGAGACTGGGGGCGCCGTGGCGAAAAGGGGGGGGGGGGGGGGAATTTGGCGGCCAAAAGGGGGGAGGGGGGGGGGGTTCGGACCCCCGCCCTGTTGAAAAAGGGAGGGAGGGGGGGGGGGTCCCCGACGACGGACGAAATCCCGACGACGGATCGGGAAAGGGGGGAGAGGGGGGGGGTCCCCGACGACGGAGGGGAACGGAAAGGGGGGGGGTCGTCCCCCCCCCCCTTGAGGTCATGCAGCGGCGCGCCATCGATATGTGTCACATCTTAATTTTACGGAACGCACGCCCTATTGAGCCTGCCCTGTGATGGGGCTGCTGACCGTACAGTGCTATCTGTGCCTGGCAACAGGCGCCCGGTCGCGGGCTTCCGCATAACATACCTAGTGTGATTTTGCAGCTAAAGCCCGACACCGGGCATCCTTATACATTTGTGGCCCATGTGTTGGCCACGCGGCCTGTCGTTCGGCACTTGGCCGCAAGCTCGCGCTGCCTTTACTTTGCGTCGCTAAGCGTACGCACGTATTGCTTCCTAAGTTGAGTTCCCGATCGGTGGTCCCTCATCTCAGGTAAGCCCCATGGCAAGCTGAAGCACTGTTGCCAGACTCCAGATACTTGGCAACAAGCTGTACGTCCTGGTAGGCTACATCTAAGGTGTAGTAGGAGCGGCCGACAGCCGCTCTCGGCGAGAAAAGACAGACCCCGCCTCGTGCGTCGATGGGCGCGCATCGCCGCCATTCTTTTTATAGTTGAATACATTTTAATCTGGAGTCACACCTTAAGCCTTGCCGTTTCGATGCGATTCGTTCCGTTCCCCTCCCGACTTTAATGGGGCTTTCCGCCGCGTCAGCCAGCGGAGGCGAAGCAGGAGCGAACGTATCTGCGGCCGTTCTGGCTCAGGGCGTCGACACCAGGATATGATTAGCCAGTATCATGGCAGTGCGCATGGCTTCTCCATCAGCCTGAGGGCTTGTCATCCTCCGATGGCTCATTTCCTATTATTGGGGGCCGTGTTGATGCATCTTGGGTTATCTTGAGCCATCTTGGAGATCATCTTGGGCTCTCAGAGACGCCATTGGAGCCATCTTGGTCGAACGGGTACCTTCTGACACCTCGCGGCCCGCCCCGTCCGGGTCCAGGGGAAGGGGTATGGGAAGGGGCAAACCTCTCCCCCAAAGGGATGAAACGGGGTTGAAGGAGGAATCTCCTTAGACCACCTATGCCCAGAGGGCTGGTGGGATTCATCGCACCACAAAGAGAGCAAGCACATCGAGAGTGTAAGAGCCGATTGTTTGGGGTCAGCGTTGGCAAACATTACAAACCTATACGGCCACCCTTCGGGTGAAAAAGGAGCTTGTGGGGGGGGAGAGGGGGGGGAACCAACATCTGACTCAATCGATCTCACAATCGATCTCACCCAACGGGACACCACGGGACACCACGGGGCACTTGTCGATCTCACGATCGATCTCACTATCGATATCACTCAACGGGACACCACGGGACACCGCAGGACACCTCTCTATTTCAGTTTCGGTTTCACTATCGACCTCATTATCGATATCACTCAACGGGATACCATAGGACACCACGGGACACCTCGGGACACCACATCGATCTCATTATCGATCTCACGATAGACCTCACTCAACGGGACACCACGGGACACCACGGGACACTTGTCGATCTCACCATCGATCTCACTGTCGATCTCTCATTTTGCGGGGCACCACGGGACATTTCGGGGCACCACATCGATCTCAGTATCGATCTCACCAGCGATCACACTATCGATACCACTCAACGGGACACCACGGGACACAACAGGACACCTGTCGATCTCACTATGCTCTCACTACCGATCTCACTCAACGGGACACCTCGGGGCACCACATCGATCTCAGTATTCATCTCACTATCGATATCACTACCGATTTCACTAGCGATCACACTATCGATCTCACTCAACGGGACACCACGGGACACCACGGGATACCGCGGGACACCGTCGGACAGACGCACAGACGGACGGACGGGCGGGCGGGGGAGAATCATTTGTCTTGACTTCGCCCTAGCAACGGCGGACACCACGGGACACCACGGGACACCACGGGACACGGGGGGACACCGCGAGCCACCGCCGGGCGGGCGAGAGGGGGATAATCATTTGTCTTGATTTTGCCCTAGCAGCGGCGGACACCACGGGACATTGCGGGACACCGCGGGGCCACCGCCTGACGGACGGACGGGGGATAATCATTTGTTTTGACTTCGCCCTAGCAATGGCGAACACCACGGGACACCGCGGGACATTGCGGAGCCACCGCCGGACGGACGGACGGACGGGGGAGAATCATTTGTCTTGACTTCGCCCTAGCAACGGCGGGTTCATTCCTCTTGCGCGCCCGCGCAGCTTCGCCTCGCCCACACGCACGACACGAACGAAACGAAACAATTTCCCGGTTGGGGGTTCCGTTCCACTGCGATCTCAGTGGTTTCTTGGATTCGCGCTGGGCCCCCCCGGCGGCGCCTCGGGCGCAAAGTTCATGTGTATGGTGCGTTTGTTTCTTCTAGTTTGCTGGCCCACGTTTTGGCGAACGCATCGCGTCATTGAGGGATGAGGATGCGTTTCGTCGTGATTGCGCAGTGGAGGATTACGGTCATGTTGCTTGGGGATTGTCTCGCTACTCATGCTCCAGCACCTCTACAACAGCATATGGTAACACGTGCTCAGGTGAAGATTGCATTCGCGCTCTCCCCGCTCATCGCGATCGCCTGCCTCTTCTGCTGCACCACAGACGATCCGGAGGAGGAGGAACTCCGGAGAAAGAAGAAGTACGATTTCAGCCTCCAGGGCGCGGAGTGAGCAGGGTGGCGCGGCATGTGGCATTGTGCCAAACCTCTTCCTCCTCCTTTCCCTCTTCCTCATCCCCCTCCGCGTCCTCATCAGTATTCTCTCCCCGCTCATTCTAATTGCGTCCGCCACCACACCGAAACAATCACGTTCGCGCGACCATAAAAAAAGAGGGAGCGCCGCAACCACGAACAGGTCGACACTGAGAGAGCGTCTTCTTACTCTGCCACACCGCACAGTGTATGTTATGTGTGGTGGTGGATTGGCCGATGCTTGGACTTACGTTGCACTTTTTGCTGGCCTGTTTAACACCATGGTCAAGTCGGTAGATGGGCCATGAAGGCGGTGGCAAGCATTACGGGCTATCTGGTGGCATTCGGCGCGCTCCGCAACCGTGCCGTGGTAGTGGACACGAGGCACATCAGAGGCATCTGGGGATACAGTGGGAGGTCGTTGGGGGGTTTCTTGGAAGCCTCTTGTGGGCCTCTTGGGTCCTCTTGTCTGTGTCATGGGGCCATCGTGGGGCGATGTTCGCTGAGACTCTTGAGCCGTCTTGGACGCTCTTAAGACTGAGACGCCAAGAGTTTGAAAGTCACCGAAACTGAAGGTTTGACAAACACGTTGGTTGCCGCACCATCATCACCAGTAGCAGTGATTGTACCCAGCCGCCTGCGGCAAGTTCTGCCATCGTGTCATCCCAACATATTCGATGGCAGCTGCTCGAGTCGATGAGGATAATGACGACGAAGACGGTGACGGTGACGGTGACGATGACGATGACGATGACGATGATGATGACGATGATGATGATGATGATGATGATGATGATGGTGATGGTGATGGTGATGGTGATGCTGATGCTGATGCTGATGCTGATGCTGATGCTGGTGATGATGGTGCTTATGATGATGATGATGATGATGATGATGATGATGATGATGATGTTGATGTTGATGATGATGATGATGATGATGATGATGATGATGATGGTGATGATGGTGATGATGGTGATGATGATGATGATGATGCAACAGATGATGATGATGATGCTGATGATGATGACGATAGGAGTGCTCGTGGGCCGTCTTTGGGGGGGCATCGCTGGTCGCCTTGGCGCCTCAGGCATCTCTGGAAGTCCTCGAGCAGCTTGCTGTTTGGGCCCCCAGACCCATTTCTTTTCAGAGTCCCTTGATCACCGCGATATAGGAGGAGTGGCACTGGGGCGCCCCAAGGAGGGGCCGCAAGGCCCAGTCCGGCCTCGGGGGGATTCCTCGGGAGGTTTGCCTGGTTTGGCCCCCCAGATTTTTCCACGGCCTTGTGATCACTGCAATATTCGACTAGTGGCTCGACTACAAAACTTCTTTACCCCAAACTCGGTTTCCTCTTCGAATTTACACACAACAAAAATTGGCTTTGCGAAGGACCCAAACATATGCAGCTGCGAGTATCGCGAGGCAGGTGAGACGACGGAGGGGGGCCAGCAAAAGGCATGCGAACACCACCACTGGGGACTTCGGTGGAGCACCCTGTGGAGCCACGATCCTCGAGATGGGTAGGCCGAACTGGCCCGAGTCCGCCATGCGGACCCTGCCACTGGTGCCTTCGGCGGAGCTCCCTATGGGACCACGATTCTCGTGAGGGGTGTGCCGGACTGGCCCGAGTCCGCCATGCGGACCCTGCCACTTGTGCCTTCGGCGGAGCTCCCTATGGTGCCACGATCTTCGTGACAGGCGGGCCGAATTGGCCTGAGTCCGCCATTTGGACCCTGCCACTGATGCCTTCGGTGGAGCTCCCCATGGGGCCACGATCCTCGTGAAGGGTGTGCCGAATTGGCCCGATTAGGCCACGATCCTCGTGAGGGGTGTGCCGAACTGGCCCGGGTCCGCCATGCGGACCTTGCCACTGAGGCCTTCGGTGGAGCTCCCTATGGGGCCACGATCCTCGTGGGTGGTCCTCGTGGGTGGTGTGCCGAATTGGCCCGAGTCCGCCACGTGGACCCTGCCGCTGCTACAATCCTCGTGAGGGGTGGGCCGAATTGTCCGGAGTCCGCCACGTGGACCTGCCAATGGGGCTTTCGGTGGAACTCCCTATGGGCCCACGGTCCTCGTGAGGGGTGTGCCGAAACTGTGGACCTGCGGAGAGCAGAGGCACGATGTTGACCCTGGTGATGGTGACGATGATGTGGATGATTGCAATGGCGATGGTGATGACGATGAGGACTTGCGGAAGGCAAGCAAAGGGAGGAGGGGGATGAGGAGAGGAGAGGCGTGGAGGAGAGGAGGAGAAGACACGGGGCGC